GGAGCAGTGCAAGCCCACAGAACTGGAATGTCCTCGCGAAAAGACGGGCCCGATGCACTACTCGCACGTTCCCGCTACTTCTCTGTAGTCCTTAAATTGTTGCTACATTATTTTCATCGCGTTTTAATTGGATATGCGCTGAATTGAACGCCAAACGTAACTTTCATTCGCATATTTTCCGTCCATGCTGTTTGGGGTCTTCGTCGACATGAATTCCAGCCTGGCAAAGCATTTGCTCTGAGTGAGTCCAGGTCCAGGTTTCCCTTGCGTAACGTCATGCCAAGGTTAACGGCTCGATTTTGTCGCGAAATCCCAAACATGCGGTTCATGTGAAGCCACGGTTTTTCAGCTTCAGGATTCCGAAGGATATTTATTTGGCAGTTTCAAACATCACCCGCAAGCTGTTGAGTAGTTACTGGTCCAGGTTGAGGAGTGGGAACGTGGGTGGGCACATGGCGGTAGAGCCGCAGACAACTCTCCGTCGCCCCCTGCCCGTCGCAGCAGCCAGCGCAACCGCCCCCGCCCGCACACCCCGGCGCTGTAACTCCCCCACACCGCCTGCCTCGCAGCTGCCCGGCACCTCAATGGCGCAGACACCGCGGTCGACATGGGGGGCAAGCAAGCACGCGGGCCGCCGGCAGTAAGGCCGGAAGGGCGAGTCAGGCTGCAAAGGCCCCCAAACGGGGAAGTGGTTTGCTGCTGATCTGCTGGTGCACAAGCCGGGCCAAAATGGGATTGACTTTGTGGCGGCGCTTGCCGGGGCGATGTGGAGGTGGATGCCTCAGACTGGTTTCCGCCGCGAGTTGCGCAGCTCGCCTTTCCTCTCAAAGCGCAGCTGTTGATTTGTGCATTTGTCAGCCAGAAGCTAGAACAAGCGTAAGTTCAGTGACCATGTTTCAAGCAGTCCAGCTTGGGTCCACAAAATGCCAAGCAATGCTTGAGGGCTTGCGCCCTTGGCCCGGGAACCTACAGCCGTGCTAGCGTCTACATATGGCTACACGACGATGGCCACGACATGCGGCTTACAAGAAAGCGTTATGGCTCCACGCGCTTACGTGTTTCACTCGAAGCTCGTGCGAGGAACGCTGCTGGCGAAGAACCCCGTAGCATTGCCCACCTCCAGACGCCCGCCCCAACCCGGCTTGGACTACTGCATGGACGATGCGTCGTACTGAGCAAGGGCTACTTGTGTTTTGTGCGCCCCTGGGCGCGAGGCCGTCATCCATCAGTCGCTGGACCGCAAACACGGAAGGCAAGACAACTTGGTAAGCTGATTGCCGATCGTCAGTGATTGCAATGCGCACGGCGCATGGTTTCCCCTGCTGTCTTGCGCTGCCCAGCGGATCAACTACTTCTTGCGCATGCTTGTGCCCGGGGCAATGGAAACTGTTGCGCAGACATGATGAGGGCGTGCTAGTTGGCGCCCTCATGCGCCGCCAACGCGCTTGCTTTATGGCATGGTTCGCAGCAGGCGGTTGATGCCATTTCGTCAAGAGCAATAACAAGAAGCATCAGTAAACACAAGCATGGAGCGGATGTGGCTTAAGCAACCGCAACACATGGAGTAACGTAGCGGTGGGAAAAACCCTGAGGATTCCTGAAAACAGAACAGCCGTACATACAAACATTCGAGAGAAACAACTCTAGTGGTTGTGAAAACCGCTTGCAACTTCCAGACTCATTCCCGTCTACGGCTCCCTTCAATGTAGCACGACAAAAAGATTTTACCATACCTAGCATGATCCCTTTTGGTCACCACTGTGCCGTTCGCAGATTGTGCTTACGCAAGGGCCCGACATGCAACCCGGCAAAGCCTTGGACGGGGTTGCCAGATGCAAGCGGCATGGGACTTGCTCCTAACTTGTCTGTGCCCGGGACTGCTGCTCGATGGTCGTTTCATGATGTCCGAGAGTGCGGATTAAGCATGTGTATCATATCACTTTACAAATGCCAGCCCTGTGAAAAATCGCATTGGGGCTTGTGGAGTATATAGTTTGTGCAAGCATGATCATGTTTTATGTGTTTTTTTGTTTTCACGGTGCCGGAGTTGACTTTGAGAAATTTGAGGAAATTGGAAGGATTGTTTGTTCAAGCAGCGCGGGAATGAAAAAGTTGTTGCACGGGGTTGGAAACGTAGGCTTGGTTAGATTTCGTGCTCACGTGGGGAGCATCTTCGCAGCATAGCCTGCAACCGCGCTCTCTCTCTTGGAAGGTGGTAGTATTTTGGATGGAGTGAGCTTGTTGTTGGAGTGCTATTGGAGATCGATTTTTTGGAGCGAGTTTCCAACCCCAATGGGAAGGAAAAACTTATCAATCAGTCATGCCTCAGGCCCACTTCAAATTGATGGAAGTATTCGCATGTTGTTTCATATGCCAACTGCTCACCCGAAAAATGGGAACTGCGTTTTTTTTTTAAGTACGCAGGGTGCGCGTGCTTGTAAAAGGTGGCTACGAGTAGGACACATGTTGTGATGGATGCATGATTTTGCGACAATGTTTTCTCAATTTATGCTGGATGCCCTGCAGTATGCAAGGCACCTATCTAGAGGCAAGTGACATCGGGCATGCTGTCACAGCTTCGCTGCTTAAATTTACTTTGATTGCATGTGCCGCTGTTTGCAGATCAACTTTATGGCCTTCGAGGCCTTTGAAGATTCGTCAAGGCTGTGCAGGCTTCGCCGCCTGTACAGCCTGTAGCATTCCGTCTACTTCAAATGAAGCTTTTCGTTTGGCTCGCTTTTTCATGGGTCGCATGGTCCCTGGCTGAGATTCTGAATGTCAGCCTGGCTTTTGAGGTCTTTAATGAAGCTTTGTCAGGCTGATGCCTTTGGCCGTCGCGATGAAGTTTGGGAAGGAGGCTTGAGCAAGGTTCCATAATCTAACGTGTAACACATATTGCAATTGCTTGTGCATCCATTGCCTCAGCTGTTGAGGAGCTGGAGCCCAACATGGTTTTGGAACAGGCGCTTATTGAGCGTTCGGCTCGCGGGTCAGGAAATTTTTCGAGGGAGGAAGAACTTGATGCGGTCGTGTCTGCCAAAGCCTTGAAAGCTGTGGGTGACGTATTTTCTGATGCCGGCAATGCCATTGCCGGTGGGGTTGAGACTGCTGGCAATGCAATTGCAACAGCTGCCAATCGAGCTGCGAATACCCTTCAGCAAGCAGGCATGGCCATTGGCAGCGCTGTCGCCAATGCAGCCGTTGTGGTTGGCAATCACGTTGTCAAAGCAGCAGAAACCCACATTGCAGCCTTGCCGGCAGCCATCCAAAATGCAGCCAACGACATTGGGAACGCGGTGGTGCAGGTCGGAAATGTCATTTCCGATGTGGGAGAGATTGCTGCAGATGCGACACTTGACTTGGGAGGGGATGTCTTGGAGAGGGCCCAGAGGTCTCTCCAAGAAGGTGTGAAGTTGGCAGAGAAAGTCGGAAAGTTCATTGCTGAGAAAGCGCAGGCCTTGGGAGAAGCGGCAGTTGGCAAACTGGGGCCGTTGGTTGCGGGTTTGGCTGAAGCTGCTTGGAACCAGATCAAAGGCTTCCTCAGCTGTTTCTCAGAGTCCCTGACCTTGTGCCACATCCTCCTTGGAGGCGTGTGCGATTGCAACAGCGGGTCGCACTTCACTCCAAGCGCAAGTGGGTTCTCGATGAGGTGTGTCTTTGATTCGTCCTCCGACTTTGCCTCGGGCTTCGGGATCCGGTCGGTACCTGCGCAGTCGTTTGGTGGCAAAAACCCTGCTACTGGTCGGGTGATTCTGCCGGGTGATGAATATGTGCAGGCTTATAAGATGGCGGGTCAAATCATGAGATCCCGGGAGGCCTTGAAGTCGAAGAAGGCCAAAGCACCCACAGGTTCTTGCGAGACTGGCTTGGATTTGGCCTTTGAAGGTGCCACGCAGTTTGCCCCAGACCTTTCTGTCAGCATGAACTTCAACGGTGACACTACGATCAGCATTAAGGGCCTGATCCGTGCTTCCATCGATGCGTTGGTCTCCGCTCAGGGCTCTTGCGCCTTCCATGCCGAGAGGGGCATTCCGAGGCTGCCCAAAAGCAAGGCCACACACTGTGCATGACCGTCAAGCTGACAAAACCCTTGAACTGAACTGAACTGCAGGTCATTTGCGGCGCGTACTTTTGCCTTGCAATCATGCTTCAAGGCGCGGTGCTGGAAGGATGCTGGCTTGGGAAATGATGTTGCTTTGACCGCTTTCTTGTTGCAGACGCCTGGCCGTCTGTCTTATGTACGTCCAGAGAGAAATAGGTCGAAACAACGATCAAGATCCAGACTCAGACTCAAACAAAGCTTGCTGCAGTCCCAGGAGGAGCTTTGCCACATTTGCTCTCCAGCTCATGCAACAAATTTGCCCTCAACATCAATCAAACCGTTTCTGTCACGGAACTCAGGCCGGTTCTGCATCATGCTCCGATGCCTAGGCACTCGTTTGCTCCCACTTCGTTCCAGGATGTTCCAGACAACAAGCTCCCTCTTGCAGCACCTACCTCCTGCAGCACACTGCAGTACCTTTCAGCATCTATGCGGCAAAGGGGCGTGCAGCCACAATAGCCACATCGTGTCCTCGATTGGTGACTTTTGCGTGCAGAGTGTACTGCATCAGAAGGTCCCGAATCCAAGAATTTTAGTTTTCACAGTTTCTGCTGCGGGGAGGCTCCAAGCAATGTCGCTTGCAACACTCCTGGTCGAGCATAAAGCCCAAAGGCTGTTTTTCTTTGATGAGGTTGCAGAAACACATTCTGACCCCATGGCCCGTGTTGTGGGTGACTTCCCTTTCATAAGTCTCAACATGATTGCTCTTAACTTTCACCCTGCAGCAACGGCAGTCTTCCTGGTGCTAGCAGTCATTACTCGTCTGGAATTGCTGACTGCAGCAATTGAGCATCGAGTTTTTCTCAGGTCGTTCAAATCTTCCCCCTCCCCTGTGCGGTGTGGGCCGTTTTCTCTCGCAGCCTGTGGCGTGGGTGGTGGGAGACATGCAGGACACCCACCATCCCTTTGACCGTTCGCACTTCTGGCATCTGCGCCATCAAAAGCATGGACTGTTATGAGAATGATGCCCAAGCCACCCACCATTCCTGGACTGTTGGCACTGTTGAGATCCGCGACATCCAAAACAAAAACAATTACGAGAACAGCACTTCCAAGGCCTAAAAATCACAGCAAATATGAATATGACGATCGTGCTCTGGACACCCACCATCCCTGTGACATTTGGACTTTTGGGAAGTTTGGGCTTTGCGGCCAGCAGACCCTCGGGGTGGGGGCACAACAGGCCCAGGAAGCGGGATCACATTCTTTTAAAGGTGCTTTTCACAGCTGAGCATTTCTTGCTGGAAGAGGTGCGTGGAAGATTTTGGGTCTAGCAGTCATGACGATTTCTGAAATTTACCCGCAATTTTTGGAGGTTGCCATGTTTTCCAGTGCCATAATTAGTGGGTATAGCATACTGTTTCATCCAAACGTGATGTCCGTTGCTGAATGGGCATGTTGTGGCTTGGTCTCGCGTCTTTGTTTTGTTGAAGGTTTTCATTAATAATTCCACTTCAGGGGTCGTCTGTTGAGTAGGAGCAGGGCGCCTCAAATGGCCATACTTGCAAAGACTCCAACAGCAAGAGGTGGAAGTACATTACACGGGAGATGAGAGGGAGCTAAACGGAGACAGACAAGGCCTCCAGAAACCCGGCAGCAGCTTCGCGCTTCCGGCTAGTAGGAATTCTTTCTTGATGAAATCACAAGCACCTGTCAGGGAAATCGACTCAGAAGACAAGATGCAAGCATGAGAGCTGCGGCGAGTTTCATCGGTCCATCTCAGCCTGACAGTTTCAGTGTTTCTGAATCGCATCGTTCAATCTAATCTGCCCTGAAGCTGGTTCCCGACACGTTTGCACATGACATGTTTTATTTGGAGACGTCATCTCCTGATGTAGTCGCGACGTTTTCTGACATCCCATGCAGGGTCCTCATTCCGATGGGTTGGGCCGGGACAAGACGACCCGACCGGCACAATCGTCGTTGGCAAAATATGAAGTGACGCCCTCGATTGCTGGCAGTCATGGATAGGCAGACTTGAGGTTTCTCTCGCTTTAGACTCTTTCAGGTGCCCTGAGCCCTGTACCCCTTGCCCTTGCCCTTCAACCTTCGAAACTCCCTTGCCAGCGAAACCCCCTGCAGCCTGAATTCTGCGTACCTGAAACTTTATCTCTGCCTTTACCATGACGCTTTGACTTGCAGTCAGCCGCTGTTATATTTACCTTTGCACTGCTCCCCTGGTTTTTTAGCCCTTGCCCTGTACTCCTGACTCCTTCCTTTCCCTTTTTCTTCAATTGTCCTTGGCCTTGACCCCTCACCTTTGCCCAACCTGGTTCTTGCACTGCCGAGCAGCCCGCAGTTTTGAGCCCCCACTCATAATTCATAATTAACTACAAAAAAATCAGCAGCTTCAAGAGTCTTGTGCCTCACGTGCATTCTTGAATTCTTGACTCTGATTGGGTCTTGGCCCCGTCCTCCACGGCAACGTTCTGTGCTTGGCTAGCTCACGGCTTAGCATGGGAGCTCTCTTTTGTTGTTTTGGCTTCCACCCGGTAGATCAATTGGAGCGCAAAATGAGGCATGCGAAAGTGTTGGTTCAGTGTGCCCGGCTTCTCTTGTGGCTCCCCAAGCAACTCGACTGAAACATGCAAGAGGTTCGGGTAATTAAAGTCCCCATGCCATCCGGACGGATGTTCGTGAAAGGTGCATCAGACATGTGAAGCTGTGAATTGGAGACTTCAACCCCGAAACTTTGCTTTGAAGCTCTCTCTCCAACTGCCGGAGTGCTGACAGCGGACCGCAATGTCTGGGGTAGACAAGCCCGGGAGCTTCCACACGTGCTTTCCCTTCAGGCAGAAACTTCTCTTCTGAATATTGGGGGTGAACAGGCAATCTTGACTGAGTAGAATTCTTTTGTTGCAGGCTTTGACAATTGTCATCTCGCTGCACTCCATTTTTCTTCCTATGAACCTTCATGAAAAGGAACGCAAGAAATCGTAGGTAGTATTCCTTCAGGGAGAATTTCCTTTGTTTGTACCATGTCAAAGAGAGTTGGACAGGCGCCTTGTGCGCGGGCCTACGGACACTGGGGATGTCAGATTTCAACTTCCTCAATCATCTGGAAACTTGCTTGGCAAACTTTTCTGATAGGAACAGTTGTGTGAGGAAAGACGGTTGCCACGATCAATATTGCAACACAGAACGTGACGTACTTTTGTAGCTCAATCTTCTGCCTCATGCTTCCAGTTGTGGCCATGATCGACATCAAGGGCGTGCTGACGGGCACGCTCGAAGTCTCGGCGGATGTGGACTTTGAGATTGAGGGCACCGTCACTGTTAACCCACAGGGTAAGGCGACTGCAAACTTCAAAAATCCCTCCATCAAGCACCAGGCCAGGTTGCTCACATTTGGATTGCAAGCTGCTTTTTCTTTGGTGTGCATGGCATTTCAACGCATGCGTTGATAGGACGGTTTTGCACTTGGAGCAAGCGCATCATCCTCGGTGCGTGTGGGGATGGGCCCAGTGCTCACAGTCTGGCCGGTGCCGGGGATCCCCATCAATTTCAATGCGATGATCAACGCCGAAGCCAAGGCCATGGGCACCCTGAGCTTCCGAAGCGGCATGTTCTTAGTACAAGAAGACAGCCACAAAGCTGACTCCGACATGAACTTGAGCATGAACTTGAGCTCTGAAAGATCCAATGAGATCGGGATGTGCGGCGCGGCCGACGCTCGGTAATTCTGGTGAAGGGTTAACTGCCTCTACTTTAGGCCGCGTAAATCTGATCCGCAGTGACCCTGCCCAAGGCCTTGAGCACTTTCGCCGACGTGGACATCACAAGCTTTGCGCTTCCACCCTCGTTCCGGTTTGCAATGTCGACCGCCTTCATCATGGAGCAAATCTCTGCTGCGATCATAGCAGGTGCCACAGCCATGACAAGGCTGATCACAGGTGCTATGGCCTGTGTTCCTGGGGGGAATGCCGTGGAGAACGCAATCATGTCGGCGGCCCACGAAGCGGCATCTACAATCACAGCCCTTATCCCAGACTTGAACCTCGACTTCTCAGTGAAGTCCATCCAGCTAATGGCCCCCGAGAAGCTTTGGTGCAAAGAGGTCTTCAAGACTCCTGGCTTTGATGCCGTGGCCTCAGTCTTTGCATACACTGGTCCCTTACCCTGATCTTTAAGCAACAGAACTTCCCCTGAAGCCTAATCACCAATCCCTAAAGTAGTTTAAATTTTCTTTTCCATTATCTTTTTATAGTTTTTACATAATCGCTATATAACCCTATATTTTACTCCAATCTACCATACAGGGACCAATGCCAGACCAGGCTGCCCCCTGCGCGGCGGAGATCGGCTGCAAGTTTGCTGGGAGGACCTTGCCGCGTGGCCAGCTGCAAGGGATTCAGGTTGAGCTATAGTTTGAACTTCTTGTAACATCCTGTATTTAGGGTTTAGTGTTCAGGACATTTTTAAAGAGGAGTATACAGGCGAGTGTCATGGGGGTTATGAAGGGGGGTGCTAGCGAATGTGAGCTATAGTCTAAACTCCTTGAAGGGGGTTACATAGGGAATTATACAACCCCCTTTTTTAGGGTTTAGGGATGTTTAGGGTTTTGTGTTTAGGGGATTATAGAGGAGGTCATTAAGGGGCATTCTGGCTCACTTGCTGATGTGAGGAGTTGTGCTTCTTCCCAAGTCGTCCGCTGTCTCAGAACCCAAGCAGAGAATGAAACAACCCCATACACTCGTCATGTCAGGTTAGGTTGAACATTTGAGCTAGTTTGGGAGGACCCCCCACCCTGTAATAGTGGTACAAAAGGAATATAAGAGGACCCTAATCCAATCCTTATTACCCCTTAATCATCACTATTACTGGGTTGGGGGGTCCACCTAAGAGCTCGTGTAGTCCGTAACAAGGAACCCATGCCCAGCCGTGGCCCAGGTGGCGTCGAGGCACCGCCTCCGGAGCAGGCAAAAGTTGAAGGAAAATGAGCTATGGTCTAAATTCCTTAAAGGGGGGGTTTTATAGGGGTTTACATAGGGAACTACTATAAGGGGTTATGAAGGGGGATACTAGGAGTTTAGACTATAGCTCAAATGGCTCAATTGGCACACTCCCACTGGAGGGTTCAGGGTTTAGGGGTTTGGGTGGCAATTCAAGCTTGTTTTCTGTTTTAATATGAGGAGACTAGCAGGAATCATTTGGCTAGTTCCCAAAATTAGGGTCCGATTTTGGCACCCTTGGATATCAGGTGCCGTAATATTATCCATAACCAAGCAGGGCCCACAATTTTGAGAATAACCCAATTTGTTTGTCGGCCACCAGCAAACCGACCGACTGGCGTTTGCAAATAGGTTGCTATTAAGGAACTTACTTTAAGTTACCATATTGGGGAAACCCTACTATTTACTCTCTCTCTATATTTATATAGGAATGTCGCCAGTTGTCAGGCTTAGCACCGGGGGGAGTGCGAATGGAGCTCGCCTTGCACGAGCCTCTCCAGCCCATAACCCCTATATTATACCCTACTATAGTAGTTTCCATGTTCTTTTCCATAAGCCCTATACAACCCCTACATTATACCCTATTATAGTGTAGTAGCTTCCATTTCCTTTTTCCATTATCCCTATATAACCCCTACCTCCCTGAGGTGAGTCACCATGTGCAAGCGACTGGGGCGTCCGGGTCGTGCCACGACATTCCAATGGGCGATCGGTTCATTCAGCTTGGCAATTTCCGCTTAGCCGACATCGACGGCAACCACTTCTCGATCTCGCACAAGGACTTGCAGAAACACATCCCAAGATATCCCAAGTTTGGTAAAAAGAATCATGCCCCCAAAGTGGGTGTCTTGCGTGTTGCTGGTCAATGCTGAAACGGCATTACGGAGCATTACCCCTAGGGTTTGTAATTACGAAAGCTTCCTGTGGAGAAGTTTTTTGTTTTGAGCCCAGCTATGCTGATCTCTTAGACGGGAGGACCCATGAGGAACCAAAAAAAGTATCAAATTTGGCTGCGTTTTCGGGGCAGTCCCCGCCGGCGGAGGTTTTTCTTGGGGGTGTCCTGGTGGTCCCCGAAACCAGGCAATCAGGAGGGTCGGGTAGGGTCGCTTCCGGGCAGAGAAACTGACGCTTTCTGATGCTGCTGATGCCCGCCGAGGAAAGCCATGCACGGCGTATGGCATATTCTGGCAGAGACTTGTATGTCCAACCGCAGCCGCACTGGTTGGGGTTCGCCTGAAGTGGGTTGCTAGCGGGTCTCCCCACCCTGCTGCCCCTGCGCATGCGCGCGACACCTTCCAAAAAATCTTTGTTTGCCCGCTGCGTGCCTGGCTGAGCGTATAATGGCATTATTGTGAACGTTTCTTGTGCGCTTACGCGGTGCTTGACGGACTCAGCTGATTTCACCTGTATAGCGTGCCCTTGCTACGCAAGACCCTCTGGATGGCGCGGCAGAGAGAGAGAGAGAGAGATGTTGTGCGCCTGCCCAGAGCCTGCTCCTGCCTTCCGCTTCGAAGCCTTCCTACCACCCCCGTAGGGGCAAGGTGCTTAGACCATCTACATGTGCTTGCCTTCCAAGCTTCTGTACAGTGTCACAACATCTTTGGATGTGTAGGATGGACAGACGGCCCAGATCTTCCGGAATGATGGCACTTTGCACCCCGGCCCTCGCACGGACTGGGGCAGCTGGGGCAGGCAGCACGACGTACGGTTCACAAAGAAGAGTATGCGACATGCGACATTTTTCTCTAAAGGCAAGTACATACCGAGGTTATGTTCCTCAGCTATTCTGGTTCTACAGGAAGGTTTTGGTGCTGTTCTTAACGTTCGGATTTCCCTGCCCCGCCTGAAGGTCAATCGGGGCTTCAAAAGGGATCCACTTCGGCTTCCAGTACATCCAGATCGGCAACTTCCGGCTGGGTGCTGTCGACGACACGCACTTCTCACTGTCGTGCCTGTGGCTGCATTGCAAGGCAACGCCAGTCTTAAGTTGCTGGTATTTGCTCCTTCAAGCCATTCCAGCGCTTCAGGCACATTGGTGGCCAGACTGCCCAAATCTACAGGAGTGATGCCATGTTGCATCCTGGGCCACGCACCGACCTTCGGCAGGCTTGTTCTGGCTGATAGGGCATAGACATGCATCTTGAGCAGTATGCCTTCTGCATAGCTATAGCTATTGGTCGGTAGTGTGGGCCCCTACATTTTTCCTGGCTCTCCTTGGACTGTTCTAACTGTAGAGAAGCCCTTGGGATTCTGCAGAGGAAGCTTGGGGCTATCCACGGGCGGGTTTCATGCATTTCGGCGGTGCAGAAGTACATGTATAGATGTATCTGAGGGGTTGAATGATTTGAAGTTACATCTTAATCATGGTACGACACAGGTAGCACGACTGTGGTGGCGAGGTATTGCTGCATGAGTGCCAAGAAGACCTGACATGTTGGGATCGGGGTGGGTAATGAGGAGTGATTACAAGCTTGCGAGCCCGTAGAGGGAGACAGCCGAGGATTGGTCGACCTTCGACCGTCCTGAAGGTGTGCCAGCTGGCATCAGCTTTGGGGACAGGCAAGGCTTCACAAGAATTGAGCAGTAGTCAACTAGGATCGAAATCCATTCGCAGGTTCATCCAGTTCGGCAAGTTCCGAATTGGTGATGCCGATGGCAACAACCTGGCCGTAACCCACACTAATGGGCAGGTGATTCAACTTTATCGCCATGACGGAACGAGGTGCGGGGAGTTCTTCTGGACACTAGCGGCTTTCTTACACGAATCGCAGTCGGGCAGGGGGAGAGGTCAGGGATTGTCGTTGGCAGATTGGGCAGCAAGGGTGGGTCCTTGGGTTACTGAAGTTTCCTGACTTCTGGCTGGCCAGCTTTAACAGAACGTGGCTGGCAACGCTAGCCACCAAGCAACACCAGCTGTTGCACGTGTCATGCGCTAAGAGGCAGACAAGGACTGGAAGACAGGCTGTAGCGGGACCACACAGATCCATCTCGTTTTGCTTCATATTCCCAGACTGTGTTTTTGCTGCTGGTGGCCAGCCGTTCTTTGTGATCCTTAGCCAAGCCAGGTCTCGCAACCTCCTCCAATTCCCTGGGCGCGGGATTGGCGGGGGCCGCATCGCTGGGGCTCGCGGTCGCCCTGGTCGCACGGTTCGCCGGGCAGCGCGCCCGCTACGCCGGATTGTCAGCGCCCAAACACTCGGTCAGAAGGCACGAGAGCTGGAAAAGAAGCCATGCACCATGCTGGATACGTGCATGTCTTTGTTTGGCAGCTTTTGTGCGAGAGGTGAATCGCCGTGGCCCAGCTTCATGGACGTGCAAGGACATTGCAGAGATGGCCTTCGGAGTCACCTTGCAAGAAATCGTGCTGAGGCCTTCTCGTTGCCATTCCTGCAGCAGCTAAGGTGTGCGACCCGGACTTTGGTACCTGGGGAGACCGCTTCATCCAGCTGGGAGAGTGGCGCCTGGCGGCAATGGATGAAACCCATTTTTCGGTGTCTCACAAGAGTGGCCAGACTGCGCAAATCTACCGCAGTGATGGCACGCTGTTTCCTGGGCCACGCACTGACTGGGGGTCCTGGCACAGACCCATCGGATTTCCTCATGGCATTACTTTCGGAGCTGGCTTTATTCAGATCGGCAAGTTCCGGCTTGGGGCGGTGGACGACACGCACCTCTCCATCTCCCACCGCGATGGACAGACCTTGCAAATCTTCCGCTCTGATGCTTGGTCGGGCTTTGCAATCGCCTTGCCATTTTTTGAGCTCCTTTTGGGAGGTGTCCCAGAAGGCTTTCAAAGTCTGAAGAAGTGAGACTGAGGATGCAACTCTCCACCCTGGACCAAGAACTGACTGGGGCCTGTGGCATCTCAGTGCTGGGCCAGCAGCAGGCGTCACGTTTGGCGATAGGTGGGGCTTGAAAATTCAGGTCCACTTTGTGGTCCAGGGCGGGTGCAATTTGACCCGACCTGCGGATTTTGTGCTTTTGAGGGTTGGGGAGGGCAAGGCAGAGTGCATGACTCCCTGCTTTTGTTTTTTCTACTGAAGACCTAAGGGCAAATCCAAAGTCAGTTGCAGGGTCCAGAACGAAGGCCTGTGTTCCAGATAAAGCAGGATTACCAGGATTACCGTAAGTACAGCCCTGGCAGCGAGCAAACAAAGAATGAGTGCCTGGAAGCTAAGTCCGCAACATTGTTGAGTGCCCCAGGTTCCTGCAACTTGGTAAGTTCCGAGTGGGCGATGCTACTGGCGTCCACCTCCTTGTCGCTCAGTTGGAATGCTGGTTTGCAAGCTGGAGTGTCGTGTTGCAAGTCTAGAGTGCTGGTTTGTTTTTGTAGGATGCGCAGATACCAAGGTCACTCACCTCGACGGCGCAACCATTCAGCTTTATCGATCAGATGGCACGCTGCACCCCTGGGTGGGGCCGGAATGGGCTGCCAAGGTCAATGTTCGCTATGCCCAGTTCCACTGTGGAGGCATCCAGACAGTCATGCGCACCTGCACCTTGGCCTCAATTCGTGAGGCATTTTTTTTTCGAACCGTCATGGAGAGATAGCCGAGGTCCTGGAATTACCACAGGGGACAGATTCCTGCAGCTGGGTGACTGGCGTTTTGCCGACATTGATGGGAATCATTTCAGCATCTCGCATCGCGCCGGCCAGACGGCCATGATCTATAGAAACGATGGGGCTCTCCATGGAGGGCCACGGGGAGACTACGGCAGCTGGGGCCGTGAGTCGAAAAGGATCGGCTCGGGCGGGACATCTTTCACTCAGCAATCCAAGTTTCCTGGGATGAAGCACTTTCGGCGGTTTCAGAGGCATGTCATTCCCCACATGAACGCTGTGCAAAGGGTGAAGTTTGGAGATCGTTTCATCCAATTCGGGAGCTTCCGGATGGGTGCGGCTGACGATACTCACTTTTCCATTGACCACAAAGATGGGCAGACTATTCAGGTCTTCCGTGCTGATGGCACCTTGCACCCTGGACCTCGCCCAAACTGGCCCTTGTCATTGTGGAACCGACCCCTGGATGTAGCGCAAGGCATCACATTTGGGGACCGCTTTGTGCAGATTGGCAACTTCAGAGTTGGAGATGTGGATTCTGGACATTTTTCAGTGACGCATGTAGGGGGCCAAACCATTCAGATCTTCCGATCAGATGGCAGGGTCTTCCCAGGCCCTCGCACGGATTGGACTACGTTCGGTCGTGAGTTGTTGGATTGCACAGTGGAGTAATGAATAGATAGTGCAGAGCTTTGAGCGCCAGTCTCAAGCCATTTAGTAAGTTTAGAACATATAAGTCAAACAGTGGTTTCCGCGTGCTCTTGGCCACGAAAAATGAACCTGAGATGACATATCGGCAGGGCAACAAAGACCTTTCATACATGTTTCCGAAATATGTTTTAGAAGTCTAAGTCCAATTAATTAGATCAGATCAGATCTGGGATGCACAACAACCTAGCATGCCGCGCCATTGCCGCGCCCAGTTTGACATGGCTGCACCCAGGACGGCGGCTGGGGAGGGTCCGCAGGAGAAAAAGCTATTCCAAGAAAAACCGCCATTCCAGCCGTTTATCTCCCCCAAATACAAGGCGCTGCCAGGGACCGACCGCAATGGGCTGGACATGGCACGCTTGCGTCGTTCAATCCGAAGGGCGGCCCTGTCGTCACTGCGCTATGTGGTTGTGACTGCCAGGCGTGTATTAAGACGCTAGGATGGCGTTATAATACAATACGCGGTCGGCGGATATGAGCATAATGAAAATCATCATCTAAAGAAAGATGATAAATCGATATTCTCTAAGATATAAGAATTTGAAGATATCTTCGAAGAATAATATATGATTAGCATGAAAGATTAAATAAGATGATAGAGATTTTCAATCCTTGATAAATAGATATATGGTTCTATGATTACTAAATTAGGAATCAAAAAAAATTGGATTGGGGGTCCGGCGTGGTCAGGCGAAGAGCTTAGGATCAGGGGTTTAGGATTAAATCTTTAAGATTTAGGGTTTAGGATTATATCTTTAGGATTTAGAGATTTAAAGGGATTAGGATTTAGGATTGATTCCTAAATTAGACTCTATATCTTAAAATCTTCTCCCGACCACGCCGGATCCCAAAATCAAAAATCTAAATATTCAATTGGATATATGAAAAATCATGAAGTTATAAAAGAATATATTTCAAGATCACGGAAGGACCGCTTGCGGCGATGATTCGGCAGAAATTGAAGATCTGGGGCGGAGATATAATATCTTTCAAAATCTATAAATATTGCGTGGGAGCTTGAAATATTAATAATTCATTAAATTTCATATACGAATTTATATCTTATCTACTCATCGGATTTCTCATTGCAAGATTTTCTCAAATAAAGATTCATTGATGATATAGAAAGCTATTCTAAATATGGGTTTAGAGATGAGAATAAATATCTACTATTTTCAAATTCTCTATCTAAGATAATTATTCAATAAATCTTGAGAAATTATATGATTAATATTGATTATCTTTTAGAAAAATCGCCAAATATTATTAAAATGATATAAATTTTCAAATTATAAAATCAATTTATATACGAATATAAAGATATATCTAATATTAGAGGGGAACTGTTGCTGATAATATTAGAATATCGTCATTAATATTTATTCGTAACGATTAATCGAATTTATAAAAGAAGAATATAATGCGTAAGAATCGAAATTCTATATTTTCATAATTTGATATTTCGAATCTTGAATAAATATCGATATTTTGAAACTGAAGGCTAGCAATCTAGTAGCTGCTCAAGAAATTACGTACTTAGAGATATTAGCATATCTATCAAATCGATAAATATTCCAAGAAATACGTGACCGATCGAGGCTTTGCTAAATTTGACGATTTTTTTTTCTAAATATTCGAATATGAATTATTTCTATTTCTCAACGAATAATCTTCTACGGATATATGAAATTCTGGCTTTAATCCGAAATCCGAATGATGACGTAATTCTCATTTCTTGGCGGATAGAATTAGAGATTCTATATTCTTTGCAATTCATAATTATCATATAATAATTGCTTATCTTGCAAGAGAATATCATGAAATCAAAAATATGATAAATGATATTCTCCCCAGATGCGGATATTTTTATCGTTATTCAAAACGCCTCAATAGATTCTGAAAGATTTTAACTCTGCATCTCGGACTTATAAATTCCCCCCGACTCGCTGCACAAATAATCAAAGAGAAAGAAATAATTCGAAATTTTTATTCGCGCCATCCGCGTAATAAATTTCGGAGATCTTAGAGCCTCTAGCTTTTCTAGAAAGATCTAAATCCTCCGACATTTTCGAGCCTGTAAGAAGCAATATTTACGATCGATCGCACCAAATATAAATAGAAAAAATTCAAAATAGATATATTAATATAAAAATAGATATAAAATGCATAGAAATTAATAATGACGGATAGAAATCGATGGAGATGCGGAGTAATCATCAAAAGAGATAAATAGAGAGACCGATAAAGAGATAAATATAGAAATATTTCCAAATATGAATAAATCGATAAATAAATAGAGAAAGAGAAAACGAAAGAGAAACCCAGAGAGACAAAACCAAACAGACGAAGAAAGAGAAATAAACAAATAAATATTCAAAAAAAGACGGAGAATCAGAGAGATAAACATATTCAAAGATTGCTAGAGATAGAGAAGACGATTAGAGACGTATATAAAAATAGATAACGAGATAAGCAGGCAGAAAACTAAACAGACAAGATGACAAATAACCAGAGATCTGGTCGCCAATACCTCTAAATCAATTTACTAGATGCCGCGGATCCAGCGATTATCAAATTAAGAATTTTCGAGACCGCCGAATCCATGAAATTTTAATATTTTTCCTCATAATTCTAAACCCTAAACCCTAAATCCTAAACCCTAAACCCTAAGCCTTAAACCCTAAACCCCTAAACCCTAAACCCTACACCCTAAACCCCTAAACCCTAAAACCCTAAATCCTACAATCCTAAAACCCTAAACCCTAAACTGAGCGAGCCGCGGGCGCCGCATTTGCTGGCGGCGAGCGTAGCTGCGCTCAAAGCAGCAGGCTCCAGAGCGAGCGACAGTCGAGCGAGGAGCCCCAGCACCTTCCAATGGTGCTGGCGCACGTGCCGGAAATAATAGAACTATATGACCCTAAACCTTCCGAGTGGCTGCAGGAGTCCCTGGCCTTCAGGACCTTCCTTTCCCGTAAGGGCTCTTCCCCGTAAGGGATTTTCCCTTCTCATAAGGGCCCAGCCTGAGCCTTCCCGTAAGGAGCGCCCCTGCCCGTAAGAGGCCCTTCCCGTAAGCGTTCCCGTAAGAATTTCGAGAGCAACTCTAATTTTTCATTCCTTCATGAAATAATGAAAATAGCTGAAGTCCTCCATAAAACGCAATTTAATCAGTCGTGCCCGTTTACCATCGACCTCATACACCGTCATGCCGTCCAAATCTCGAAACGTGTTAGGCGCGTTATTCTTGATGACCTGATTACAATCGATACTTATACTTAAGCCTCATATAAATGTGCACTTGGCAGTTGCAGCTGCTTCTCACTTCACGTTCTGAGCGAGCTCAATGGACGTCTTGGATCTGGAGGTTGAGCCGTGGAGAGGATACTGAGTGGCATCTTTATGTGACCTCAGTTCATCCCCGTGCTCCCCAAGGTGCGGAGCATGCTCCTGTATCAGCTGTACATTTTTGTACAAAATCGAGGCTTGGCCTCTGTTGGCCAGCAAGGTGACCTGTCAAAAGAAAGGTTTGCCCCACACCAACCACAGTGCACCAGCATGTGCACCACAAATATGGGAAGGCAAACCAGACGGCAAGTTCGGTAGCTGCCTAGGGCAGCCACACAGCCCAAACAGGTGTGGGCATTGATTTCCTGTACGGCCATGCTAGTCGTCAGCACAGCCACGCTGCTGAAGCAGCGATGGAGTTCAAACACACGAGTCCTTCTGGATCAGATCAGCAGCCAGCAACGCCTGGTGTATCCACGATCTCAGAAGCCTTAGCACCACAGTAGCCAACCATCCCATTGCTGTACAAGGAGTAGTCTCGCGATCCGCACGAAATTTCACGAGCATTGTAGCCCTTGTCAGCGAAAGGTCCAATGTTCTCCGTCCGGTCTCCATAAAAGTGCACCTTGCTGGGAGGGATGGTGACGCCCTGCTGGGCATACCATGCCACTATGTCTTCCGCTGCCTCGGCGCTTCTTGCAACAACCCTAAGAAGAAGGGATGCCCGCCGAGCATATCAGTTGTTCCAACTTCAAGCACACAAACACTAGCGCAAGCTTAATATCTCGCATATAACCCAATATTACCCCTATATAACCCCTAAATAACCCCCAATTTGTGAGTACCAAAATGCTAACTGTGTTTTATGAAAGTCATCTCAGGTGCGTTTTGCTTCTGCAGGTTAGGCCACTTGAGAACAAGAGGGGAATCAACTCTAGGATAGTCGGACCACGCAGACCTCCAGGGCTTGACCCACGCAGTAAAATGTATCCCGCTATAGAGCCACTGATTTAGGACCCCTCCATTTTCCCCCTATAATCCCTGTATTCCCTCACCCTAAACCCTAAACCCTGAACCCCTCATCCACGAGTGGCTACTTGAGAACTTTCTAAATTCGAGTCCAAGACTCGCTTCCCCATTGGCTGCTCGCAGCTTGCTGAACTTCTCACTGATCAACACCTGGTAGTTTCCCAAAACAAGGGAACCCCAATATAGACCCCAAACTGTTTTTAGTCCTTACTATTGGGAGCCCCAAAAGGTACCATTCATTTTGGGAAGCCCTACCTTGTCCAAGAGATATGGCCTTTGTGGCGAGTTTCGGCCTCCAGCATCCCCTGCCGAGATCAACCCTAAATAGCAGAAGTTGCAGAATGTCTCCGATAACTTTTGTGCTGCGTCTGAAAGCGTAAGCCAACCTCCGCCATAGGCAGTGTCCCAAATGGTATTCTCAATCCTGTTGTCTGGACAATTCTTCACGTCACCTTGCTTGCCAGTGAGCGTCCTGTCAATGTCGAAGATGCACAAACAATCCTCTTGGGACGGCGGTGGGGTCGGTGTGGGAAGAGGCTTTGGGTCTGCACAGACCACAACTCCCTTGGTGTCCACGATCTCGTCCTGCGGCAGACGACGTTGTGCTTAGCATCTCCATGAAACTGCATGCTAGGGCCACTTAGAATCTACAGCGCATCTCAAGACTTCTGCGGATTGGATCAGACATGATCAAAGCAAATGATAATACGAGATGCAGCTGGGTGGCAGTTGCGGCACCGCAGAGTCCCACCATGCCGTTGCCAATGCTCATGTCTCGAGAGCCGCACGAAATTTCTCGGGCGTTGAAGGCTGTTGAACTGAATGGCGGGATGTTCTCAGTACGGTCGCCGAAGAAGTACACATCCTGGTCCCTGACTCTAATGCCTTGCTGCTCCTGGGTTGCTGTTAACGAACTTAAATTGGGGAAACCCTATTATTTACTACATATACCCATTATGGTGACTTAAACCCTAAACCCTATATAACCCCATTCTAGTAGTTTCCACTTTCTTTTCCATTATCCCTATATATACCCATTATAGTAACTTAACTTAAGTTCCTTAACCCTAAACCCTAAACCCTATATACCCATTATGGTAACTTAATTTAAGTTCCTTAACAGCAACCCAGGCTCGTACCAAGCCACAATGCCAGCCACCGCATCCTGCTTCTCCTTGTCGGGCCATCCGAGTACCTAAAAGCTGAGAGAATCAAAGCCCATCAGATACAAGACCTAGGGTTTAGGGTTTAGGGTTTAGGGATTAAGGGTTTAGGGTTTCTAAACCCTACACCCATTGGGATAATGGTAAAGTGGTATATATTGGGGTTAATGGAGAATCAAATGGAAAAGAAAATGGAAAATGGAATGGAAATTAGGGTATATATTGGGGTTATAATAGGAATAAACCCTAAATAGTACTTTTCATTTTCTTTTCCAATTAGGATTATATGGGGATAATGGAAAAGAAAATTGAAACTACTATTTGGAGTTAATATATTTCCCATATAACCCCATATTCCGCAGGGCACCAGAAAGCAGGACAAGCCATGGACCCTACGATTCGGAGTTTACATATGTTCCGAGCAAATTGGATTACAAAAAAATCAAGCCGTTGCTCTGAAGCCCCAGGAGCCAGAGGAGAGCGGACGGTTCTGAAACCCCACTCAGCCGCCTGAGCGTTTGAGCGAAGCAGTGCCTGAAAGGGTTCACCAACAAGCACATTCTCAAGCAAGTAGGTCCGCTCTCGCGAGTTGGGCCCGCTAGCAACGCCATGCGAAACGATTCCCATGTAGCACTTGCCGCAGAAGGTGTTTTGCAAGTTTTGGCCCGCTTGAGAGATGGTTAGCCACCCACCCCTGTATGCGGTGTCCCAAATGCCAGGGATCTCCTTATCTGCGGGACATTCATTGCTGGCAGTTCCCTGCTTTCCTGTCAGCGTGCGGTCAATGTCAAAGACGCAAAGGCAATTTGGCCCTCTTCCAGGAGGCTGTGTTGGAGGTTCTGGGGCATCCGCTGGGTCGTAGCAGTAGTCAAAGTTTGGAATGCCAGTTCCCGTGCACCCGGGCACAGTTGTTACACCATCTCTTTGGAAACAACGCAAACCTCCTGCGCAGTGCTCATCTCTGTCGCAGTCACCGGCGCATTTCGGCATGTTTGTGCCCCCATCTTTGCCGTAGCTGCTGTCCAAGGATGGCAAACCCGGCCCGTCAATTTCACACTGTGGGTCGTAGCAGTAGTCCATCTGCGGCCAAGACACTCCCCCACTACATCCTGGAACGGCCTCGCCTCGATCCCTCTGTTTGCACATCAAGCCGTCTGCGCAATCATCATCTCCGTCACAGTCTCCCTGACACTGTGCCATGTTCTCACCGCCGTCCGCACCCAAACTGCTGTCAAACTCACGGGTTTGGCATGATGTGGCGTGGACGTTGGATTCGGCCGGCTTGCGCAAGTTGCCATGATTGCCGGCAGCGGTGATTTGTTCGGCCGGGTTGGGCTCACCCACCGTCAGCCAGGCCGCTGTCAAGGCAATGAGGAGATTCAACATTGCCAATCTGCCCGGCGGCACAGGAAAGGAGCCCTTTGAACAAAGGCGGCTTCACAAAGAAACAACTCCCAGCTGCATGTATTCAGCAAGTATCTCCACCCGTATCACAGCATGTTGTCGCATAAATCATGCAAACCTTTTTCCTGTCCAGCCCGCGTTAGACTTCATCAGCCCTAAATCTCTGAACAGCGCCAACAAGCCTTCCTCTAACCTAGTAAGCTCCAACAAGCTGACCACCACAGCATTGCAAATTTGCAGCTCTGCGGTCTTTCGCCTACTGTCCTAATGATCTTTGGATTCCAATCAGCTTTTGTCGTCATGCACTTCTTGGCATGCAGCCGAGGGCTTCACTGTTGCCCTCAGGACGTCACCATCGATGCTTCCATGGGAAGGAATCGCAACAAAAACCATGCACTGGCTACATCCTCTGAATGTACGGCCTCAATGTTTGTTTGTGAAGCCAGCAAAAAGTTAGAGTCATGAGCATAAGCGCAGCAACCACAACAGCCCTTCTGCCTTTGCAACACCCTCACGCGTTGCCCCATTGCTTACTAAGCTCCGCTTCCTGCAAACCCTGCGAATCTTTATGCAGGGCCTTGAGCATAGATTGGCGTAGCAAACAAGCCACTGCATGTACGGACAATTCCCCGTATCACCTCGGTACCATCGGCTACAAAGACTGGACGCCCGGTGAAAGCAGCGTCTGGAGCCCTATTTCCCACAGTCCTTCCACAAAGCCGTACACAGCAGTGAACGCAAACAACGCAACATAATTATGACTGACGCAAAGCCGGCGATCTAGCCGAAGTGACCCAATGAACCCTGTCACAACCATGACGACCTCCAGCACAGGAGCCTAGGGGCAACAGGTGAGGAATGAGCCATGGATTGCGAGTAACACAGAAGAGAGATGCTAAACGGACTGCGGATCTGGAAGTTTGGGAGCCTTCATGTCCATCCTGGTTCAGCTGGGTGGACAGTTGGTCTGGTTGCGACTCTGGACCAGGATATGCAGCAGCTACTTATTTACGTGAACGCATCCCATGCACTCACCCTAGCGTGGTTCTTCAGTGTTTGCAGCTTCCGTGCCGCCAGTCTGCATCCTCTACGGGAGCTTATGATACCCTTCAGGAGGCCCCTCCAAGCGCCCGAAGCTGTACAAGTGGCCCTTGAAGGAGCCCTGGGCTGCCTTGTGGCAAAACCCTCTGATCCTGATCCTGTGTAGAGAACTCCTTCTTGGCTCTTTTCATGATGCCGTGCTTGGTAGCAAGCCCGCCAAGCTTTCAAAAACACAAAACGAGCTCTCTTCACGTCTGCTCTTCATGCATCTGCAGATTCGTGGCCAGCTGCGGTGCATACTAAGAAGCCTGCATGATCCTAAGTACCTCATGACCTTATACCTTGGGAATTAAAGAGTGACAGTATACCAAGGTCATGCAGGATTTCTAGTACCAACCGTAGAGACCTTCAGTTCCTGAAGGTCCACAGCCTATTATGCCTGATAACCTGGCTGTCAGCAACTTCATTGCCTGTCTAGGCTTTAGGGTATTTCCTACATAGCGTTGAGGTTTTCTGGAGATTAGGGTGTAGTGTTATTCTAGGGGCAAGAAAATGGAAAGTACTATATTATTGTGGGGATGAGATGGGGGTCTTATGGGGATGTTGCCACGGCATAGGGGTTGTAGGGATCATTTTGGCACCATTGGTATATAGGAATAATGGAAAAGAAAGTGGATACTATTGATTTTGCAACTACTCTTATTAATGGAAAATCACATGGAACATGAAATAGAAACTACGTCATTCTCTATGGCTTTGGGCTTCTGCCAGGACATCAGGCGACTGCACCCTAAACCCCCAAATCCCCAAACCTAAGCCTTCAGCCCTAAACCTAAACAAATGGGGGCTTTCAATCACCGAGGCTCCCTTGAAGAGGACTTCCTGTAATCAGACTTGAAATGTTTTTGGGGCCAACATATTGCGTACTTCTCCCACCTCGTAACATACATATATATATATAAGTACAACATATATAGCCCCGATTTTATCACCATCACAGAGAGCTACTGGGCCGTGGCCGTACCCAAGCAATTTGAGGGGTAATTACCCCGATTTTTGGAAATCACCAAATTACCGTCTCATCCGGATCTTCTGGACTGAAGCCTGGGCTTTGGGGCTTGGGGTCCAGGATTTGGGGCATACGGTTTAGGGCCGGGTGTGAGGTTTGGGTTTCAGGGGCTGAGGGGGTTCCGGTTGGTGATATCATCAAGGCTGCCAGGGTTGGACCTGTAAGATTGTTTCCCTGGGTTTGGAGATCCTTTCATGGAACCTCTAGGTGATTTTTTTTAAATGTGGGTTTAGGAGGGGGATGCTAGGAGTTTAGCTCATATGGCGTACGAAGAGCAATCGTATGATGGTCACGTTGGGGGAGCCTCTTAGGGGTGCCTAAGCCCTAAACCCCTAATTAACCGCCTACGCAAACCCTGAACCCTAACCCTGGAACATTTGATTTTTCAATCCGTAAGCTGGCCCTATGGCCGGATGCTAAGGAGGCAGGCAGCTGTCCTACTCTTTTAAAACTATCACTTTTACTACTCTTCTTATTATTACACCCTTACCATGATTATTATTACTATTATGACTATTGCTATTACGACTATTCCTAGGAGTAACAAAGTGCTATTAGGCATTCGGGGAAATGGACAGGGCATGGACGCCACCATGTGTGTCTGGGAATCTGAAATAATTCCCAGAACCCCTTGCCCCATTCCCAACTCAGCATAAGACAATTTTTGGCATTCGGCGTCCACTCTGGGGGCTGTGCTTGGCCCACGAAGCTCGTCATCGTGCACCTTCCGTCATTGGGATGAGATTCCATGCTGTTTGCGCCTAGTTCGGCCCGTATCATACAAGGCTCGCTGCATGTGGCGGCTAATCTTTTCACTGATAAAACGGACTTGGGGGGTATCTTCCTGTGGGTCCCGATAATAAGGATTGTAATAGATTGGGATCCCCCTATTTTGGGAAAGTACCACTTAGAATGAATGCTGCCCAACCATTTTCTGAAACAGTTGATGCACGGCCGGGACATGCCCACATCCCGCTCGTCCAAGCTCTCAAGAAATCCACGCCAGTATGTCACCATCCGCACTGATATATGGGGCTTTCCCAAAATTGAGGGCATCTTCCAATGGGTTTCAAGAGTAAGGATTATAGTATTTGGGGTCCATATTGGGGTCCCCTTATGCAGGGAAACTACCATGTGAGCTACTGTCTAAACTCCTGGTATCCCCCTTAATATCCCCTGTAGTGATCCCCTATATAATCCCCTTTAAGGAGTTTAGACTATAGCTCATGTCAGCAAGCAAAGGTTTGAAGTGGCCTCCTACAGGCCCATTGGCCAGCATCAGGGGCGCCGGCGACGACTCCGCAGCCTGTCTTACTGATCCCTAAGCTCTAAGCCCTAAACCCTGAGCCCTGAACCCTAAATCCTAAGTCCTAAACCCTAGACCCTGAAACCTAAACCATAAATCCTCAACCCTAAATCCTAGCTGTCTTGGTTTCTGGTGCTGAGGGATGTTGAAGCAACACTGCCCCAAATAAAGGAAGGAAATGGAGACGACTTTTTTTTATGCAGGGGTACTTTTGGGATGGTATAGAGGTTATATAGGGATATACACCGAATACACTGCCGAGTAAGCAACATGGGTATTCAGCACTCAAAGCACGGCAGTCTGAACTTACAACCACGGGAGACATGGCTGGCCCTGTTAACCTCGCACTGTGCTAATAACCCCAATATAACCCGAATATAACCCCAATATAACCCTAGTGTAACCCCAATATAACCCCAATATAACCCCAATATAACCCTAGTATAACCCCAATATAACCCCGAATATAACCCCAATATAACCCTAGTATAACCCCAATATAACCCTAATATAACCCCAATATAACCCTAGGGAAGCCTGTGCAGGAGTCGCGGCAGCAGCAGCCACCACCGTACCACCTCAAGCTCATCGGCAAAGCTGAAACCTTTTCCACAACCTTATATTGGGGTTATACTAGGGTTATATTGGGGTTATATAAGGGTTATATTGGGGTTATATAAGGGTTATATTGGGGTTGT